AGGTCATGATCTCGCGGTTCATGGGTTCGAGCCCCGCGTCGGGCTCTGTGCTGACTGCCAGCTCAGAGCCTGGAGCCTGTTTCAGTCTGTGACTCCCTCTCTCTCTGACCCTCCCCTGCTCACGCTGTCTCTCTGTCTCCTAGAAATAAATAAACATTAAAAAAAAAAAAAAAAAAGATGGCCCTCAATGATCCCTCCTTCTGGTATTCAGACCCTGTGGAGTCCTCTCCCACGTTGTGCCAGGACTGACCTGTTTGACCAACAGCACACAGAAATGATGGTATGTCATTTCTGTGGTTAGACTGTGAAAGACTTTGACTTCCATCCTGTTCTCATATTCTCTTCTCTCTCCTCTCTTTTTCTCTTTCTCTTTCTCTCTCTCTCATTACTCATTCTGGGGCAACCATCATATTTTGAGACATTTGAGTAGTCTATGGAGAACTTTATTAGGTGAGAAAACGAGTTATCCAGTTAAAAGCCTGTAATGAACTTGGAGGTAGATCCTCTAGCCCCAAATGACTGGAGCCTCAGTTAGCAGCCTGACTGCAGTGCCATGAGAGACTCTGAATCAGAATCACCCAGCTAAGCCATTCCCAGATTCCTGATCCACAGAAGCTATGAGATAATAAATGTTCATTGTTTTAAGCTACTAAAGTTTGGAGTAATTTGTTATGCAGAAACTGATAGCTAATACAAGAGATGATAGAATTAGAATATCACAGATTTGTACTGACTAATGAAATAATTGGATTGTGAGCAATGCTCAACAATGACTGGTAAAACCATAAAGTGCAAGGCTAAGGAAGAACTTTATAACCGATGGTTCTGCAGGCTGATAATATCTGAATTAAGTAATCAAATTTTTAAAAACAACTTTATTAACTTTTTCTTTAAAAAATTTTTTTATTATGTACAATTTTAGACATACAAAAGTATAGAGAGGGGCATCTGGGTGGCTTAGTCCGTTAAGCGTCTGACTTTCACTTAGGTCATGATCTCGCGGTTCGTGGGTTTGAGCCCCGCGTCGGGCTCTGTGCTGACTGCCAGCTCAGAGCCTAGAGCCTGTTTCAGAGTCTGTGACTCCCTCTCTCTCTGACCCTCCCCTGCTCACGCGGTCTCTCTCTCGCTCTCTTAGAAATAAATTAAAAAAAAAAAAGTATAGAGAATAATAGGCTGAATTCCATATGCCCATCGCTCAGGCAACAATAACCAGCTCATGGCCAATCTTGTTTCATCCATAACACCAACCAAGTCCCCTTACTCCATCACCATACTGGGTACTTCGAAGTAAATCCCACACACCACATCATTTCATCCACTGATCAACTTTTTTTTTAAGATTTTTAAGTATTCTTTACACCTAATGTGGGGCTTGAATTTACAACTGAGATCAAGAGTCACATGCTCCACTGACTGAGCTACGCAGGTGTTTCCATCTGCTGATTAATCTTAACATCACAAAAAGAGAGGCAAAGAGATATTACATGTCTTTTGATGTGATGCAATTAGAAATCTCCATCATTATCTATACAGTATTACTGCTAAAGCAAACAAACAAAAAAAAAGGAAAAGAAAAAGACCTGAATTTGGACTCAAGTCTCAACTACAAGTTTGCAGGAAATGCAGAGGATATGTAGGAAACTCTACATATAGGTGACTTGATTTCTTCAAAACACAAATGATTTGAAGGAGTGAAAAAATAAAATTAGGAGATATATCAACCCCACAGACATGTGGACTCTATTAGTCAGCATTCTCCAGAGAAACAGAACCAAGAGGACATATATAAGACAAGCATTATTATAGGCATTGGCTCACATAGTTATAGAGACTGACAAGTCCCATGATTTGTGCCTGACATTTGGAGACCCAGGAAAACTGGTGATGTAATGCAGTCTGAGTCCAAAAGCCTGAGAACTGGGAGGGGCCAGTGGTTTAAGTTGCAGTCTAAGTCTGAATGCCCTAGAGCCACAAGCCACACTGTCTGAGGGCAGGAGAAGATAGATGTCTCAGGTTAAGCAGAGAGAGAAAATTTGCCCCTCCTCTTTTTGTTCTCTGCAGGTCCTCAATGGATTGGATGATGCCCACCCTGAGTTGGTGAAGGTGACCTTCTTATTCAGTCTACTGGTTTAAATGCTTATGTCTTCTGGAGACAACTTCACAGACGCAGCCAAAAATAATGTGTACCAGCCATCTGGGCATCCCCTAACTCAGTCAAGTTGATATACAACATTAACCATCACATGAACCCTATTTGGAAATCAATTCAAACAAGCCATCTGTAAAAGACATTGTGAGACAATCAAGGAAAAGGGAACGTGAACTAGATACAAAAGGATATTAAGGAATTATAAACTATGTAATGCTGGAATTTGCTTTACTCATCATGAATTTTTTGCATTTTGACTTTCTGAAATATTGCATTAAAATACTACTTATCCTAGGGGCGCCTGGGTGGCTCAGTCAGTTAAGCATCTCACTTCGGCTCAGGTCACGATCTCCCGGTTCATAGGTTCGAGCCCCACATTGGGCTCTGTGCTGACAGCTCAGAGCCTGGAGCCTGTTTCAGATTCTGTGTCTCCCTCTCTCTCTGCCCCTCCCCTGCTCGTGCTCTGTCTCTCTCTGTCTCAAAAATAAAAAAAAAAAACTTTATAAAAAATTAAAATAAAAGAAGTAGCAGACTTCTCTTTAAAACTTTAAAAAAAATTACTTACTTGATTATGGAGTTTTCCTTAAGTTTTGGGTCCAAGACAAGTGCCTCACTTAATTCATACTAGTCCTGACCTCGAAGAAGACAGAATGTGAACAAAGCAGTCAAGACAGAAAGTCAAGACAGCAGTCAAGAACAAAGCAATGCAATAACAGAATGAGATGAACACTATAAAGGCAAGTGTGGTAGAGAATCACTAAAGAGTGAGGAAGAGAGAGATTGGGAGAATGTGTGTGTGTGTGTGTGTGTGTGTGTGTGTGTGTGTGTATGAGCATGTGGATAGTGGTAAATGGTTGAGTTGGGGTGGGGAATCACGGAGCTTTCCAACAATTTGCTGAAACTGGAGAGTAGAGGGAACTCAGGACACGTTTTCAAGCTTTGAAAGAGGTACAGAGTGAAATATAGATCAGATTCAGCTTCAGTAATGGTGAACAAGGGGCCATTTAACTGAAGTGAGCGATGCTGGGGAGGAAGAGCATTCAAGGGAAACAAAGTCTGACTTTGAACAATATTGAGTGTGAGATGCATATTAAAGACACAAACAGAGCTGAAAAAGGTACTCACAAAGACAAATCTGGACCTCAGGTGGAAAGAGATGAGCAAGAGATACAAATCTGGATGAGATCATGTATGGAAACTGTAAAAAGAAAACTGGAGTGGGAACAGATCTGAGATCTGGGGCCACCAACACTTAAAGGTCAGGTAAGAAGATGGAGCCAGCAAATGAGCCTGAGAAGTAGCCATCAATGAGGTAGGAAGAAAACAAAGCATCTCCTAAGGAAGAATGGTGTGGGAGGCTGCTAGAAGGGAAGTAAACTGAGAAAAGAGAACTAACCATTGGGTGTGGTAACACGCAACCAGGACAAGGACAGTTTCCATTGAGCAGGGAGACCAAAGCCAGGTTGGAATGAATTGGCAAATGAGTCTGAGAGGCAAGGGAATGAAGACAGTGAATCTGATAGTACACCTGAGCAATTCTTGAAGGATGGAGACTAGAGAGGCTTGAAAGAATCAAGTTGGGCACAATCCACAACCCTCAGCTCTACTATCTACCTATTTTGTATTAAGTATTTTGTATTGAGTACAGCTCTGTTTCCGGAAGCTGTGGAGATTGATTTCATGAGAATGGATTACTTTGTGACAGGACTATAAAAAGGAAGTAATTTGTTTGACATTTTGCACATATTTTTTTATATATTATCTTTTAACCAGCTATGGCAATGGCAGAGGAGGACATTAGCAAAAGATGTCTAGTCTAAATAAGGGGCTGAGTTTTTTAAGCCAAGAATCCATCCATCCTTCCTTCCTTCCTTCCTTCCTTCCTTGAGAATGAGAGTGGGAGAGAGGGATGGAGGGAGAGAGAGAATCTTAAGCAGGCTCCCTGTTCAACATGGAGCCCAACACATGGCTTGATCCCATGACCCCAGAATCATGACCTGAGCCAAAATCAAGAGTCAGATACTCAACCAACTGAGCCACCTGGGTGCCCCAAGAATCATTTCTTAAGTCAGAGATCTAGAGGACAGGTAAGTGAGGGATGAGGGAAATTGAGCACCAGCCCTGGGCAGAGCATCTGTCTGCTGATGCTGGGGATCTGCTACCATCACCCCCATAGTGAGAGCCCTGAGTGGACAAACCCTTAGAGCAGCCTTGAGATGGAGCAGCCCTAGCAATACTTTCCAGCTCAGAATTTACGAGCAGTATACCATTTTCACCTCACTTTCTCACAAGGGTAAAGTCAGAACTGTCCCTGAAAGCTGCAATCACCCATGGGGGGCTGCTTCCCTCACCACCAGAAACAGTAGGGGTGGCATCTCTTCTCTACCTGCCCCCCCCGCCCCATTCCTGTTTTCCAGTGAAGACAGGTGGAGAGAGGGGAACACAATAAACATCTGTTTAAAAAGCCACAGACCTCATCTCTCTTATCCATTTTTTTGTTTATTTATTTATTTTGAGAGAGAGAAAGAGAGTGAGAGCGAGCATGAGCAGAGAGGGGTAGAGAGAGAAAGAGAGAGAAAGAATCCCATCTTACCCATTTATTTTTAACTAACCGCAGAGGGAGAAACTGCCTCCTCTGAAAGGTAAAGGAGCTTACTTTGAGTTTTGAATTCTAAACCCAAGACTCTACATAGTATGTTCTTCTTGATAGTGAAAGATTACAGAGAAGTGTGCTCCCCATTTCAAGCAAACTGAACTTTAAAATATGACCACCTCTCTGGCTCCTGCTTGTTATGCCCCCATAGCTCTTTAAAATTTTCCTTCTCAGACTTTGGGCAAGGACTACTCAGACTGGCATAAGTTTCTGTACTTTAGAGAAGGGAATGCAACATTCATTTAATTAGCAACTTCAGCTGCTCTGTGACCACGCTTCACTCAGAGGTACATCTAGAACACAGACAAATCTATCTCCAAAAGCTTGTAGGGTGAGACAGCTTTTACTGAATGTTCTTCCAAAAGGGGCAGTGAAGGGAAAATTATGCCACCCAACACAGCAAACTCTCCCAGTTCCAACTCTTGGGAAGAGAAGTGGTCTCTTTCATAACATGGCCTCCTCTGGCCACTGGCTCCTCACTGCTCTCTCTTCCTCACTTTCTCAGGAAGGCCTGCTATCAGCTTCTGCCATCTTCCTCTGAACACCTCACCTCAGCAGTCCTGACTGGTCCTGACCAGAGATTTGCTGCTCTTAAATATTATCAGTCAAAAGAGGTATATGTGCCTACTGTCCTCCACGATTCACATTTTAATCATTGAGGCCCTTTGAGTTTGTATTAGTTTTCTACTGTTGCTATAACAACTTACCACCAACTTTGTGGCTTATGACAATGCAAATTTACTATCTTCACTTTTGTATTTCTTAAGCCCCAGCTGGGTCTCAGAGCGTCAGCAAGGCTGTGTAGCTTTCTAGAGGCTCTAGAGGAGAATCTGGTTTTTGCCGTTTCTAGCTTCTAGAGGTTGTCACATTCCTTGGTCCTGGCCCACTGCCATCTTCAGAGCCAGTGAGCACATCACTCCAACCTCTGCTTTCATTGCTGTATCTCCTTATATGGCTCTGGCTGTTCTGCTCTCTCCCTCTTTCACATTTAAGGACCCTTTTAAATACACGAGCCCTGCCCTGACCATCCAGAATATTCTCCCTCTCTCTCTCTCTCTTTTTTTTTTTTTTTTTTTTTTAAATATTTCTATTTATTTCTAGGAGAGAGAGAGAGAGAGAGACAGCGTGAGCAGGGGAGGGTCAGAGAGAGAGGGAGACACAGACTCTGAAACAGGCTCCAGGCTCTGAGCTGGCAGTCAGCACAGAGCCCGACGCGGGGCTCAAACCCACGAACTGCGAGATCATGACCCAAGCGAAAGTCGGACGCTTAACCAACTAAGCCACCCAGGTACCCCTACTCTCCCTCTCTTAAAGTCAACTGATAAGCAGCTTCTCTCTGCAAATTTATTTCCCCTTTGCCATATATCATAACATATTCAGAATTACTGGGGATTAAGGACACGGATACTTTTGGGAAGCCATTATTTGTCTACCTCAAAGTTCAAAGGCTAGTGTGGCTGGTGGTAGCTTATGAGGGAATGGTCTCCTCTTCCTGTAGCTGGAGGCTATAAAGGAAAGCGGTTGTGCTGGGCCCTAAACTCAACTCAAGTGGATGGCTAAGGGCTTAGCTAAAGTCTTTCTCCAAGGTAAACATCGTGCAACCCTTTCTCAATTTTAGCTCTGCTGCAATCTTTGTCCTTTACCCCCATATTAGGGGTGGTTGGGCAGGATGGGTGGTAAGTGACTTTGAGAAAAAACACAAATAAGCAAACACTCTATTCTAATCCAGAGACACTGTCTCTCCATGACCTCTTTCATCATCTCCGGGAAACCTCTTGGCTCACAAACACTTAGCCGTCCAGATTTCGGTGGACATCTTGGTATTTGAAAGACTCACCCATCCCAGGTTAATGCCAGACTAACAATGAATTCTAGTGGTTGACTCAGGGAGAAGGAGAAGCACTGTCTCCCTGCGGCTCTGGTTTACAGATGAGGAAATGCAGGATGGGAACTTGTTTGGATCTGGGAGTGACCATCACTCCAGGTTCCATGTTTACATGATTTGGTAAGATAGTCTCCAGAGATGACTGTCATTAATTCCTTATCTCTTGAATGCACCTACTGCTTCTCACATCAAGATGCAGAGTCTATTTCCTCTGCTTGGGCCGGCCTTAGTGACTTGCTTGACTAATAGAATGTGATGAGAGTGATATTCTGGATCTTTTGTGGCTAAGTCACAAGGTTTTTGATTGATGATCCTCTTGGAATCCAGCTGTCATTATGTAAGCCCATGTCTCATGGAGAAGCCAAAAGTAGCCTCTCTGGTTAATAGGACCTGCTGAGTTCACAGGTAGCACCAGCTACAAGCCATAGGAGTGAGCCATCTTGAACATCTAGCCTAAGTCAGGCCTTCTGCTGCCTCTGACCCCAGCTGTTATCTGAATGCAACAGGATTCAAGGCCATCAGTGAGAATCATTTAACCAAGACCAGCCAACTCTTAGAGCAATGAGAGCAATAAAAATAGTTATTTTAATCCACTAAGTTTAGAGGTAGGTTAGTTATAAAGCAATAGACATTTAGGGTATACCTATACCTTTGGAGAACCCAGAGCAAGTCTAGGCAGTGTGACAAATCCTGGAGAGGCTACCGAAGAGTGTCAGATATCGGTAGAGAAGATATAAAGATAAGTACCACAGGATTTTGGAAGAGGAAGATATTACTTGTGGGGAACTGACCAAGGAAGACTTCCCTGGAAAAAAATGAGATTTAACTTGAGTCTTGAATCTGGGTAGGCTTTTAACAGGGGGAGAGTACAGATAAGAGAGAATTAAAGTATCTAAAAGAAGTAATGTGGACAAAAATGGCAAATCAGAAGAAAGAAGGATAAATGGGAAATGAGAGTAGATTTGCTGAAAACACTCACTTTTCAAGATTCAGGGCAAGGGTACTCTCTCCCAGAAGCCTCCTTTGCTGTCTCCCATTTTCCTACCTTCTGTCTTACCTGAACTGATTTTTCTACTCTTGTCAGAGCACCAGGAATT